GAGCCGCTGTAGAGTTTGTTACGCAAGAATTCCCCAGTAGATGGGCCATATTTTGTGACTCCAAGGCAGCTCTTCAATGCGTGCGAAGTCTACGACATGAAAACTACCACCAGGTGGTGTATCGTATTAATTACATTTGTCATCGCACCGCTGATCAAGGACTTGACATTGTTTTGCAATGGTTGCCGGGCCACTGTGGCATGACTGGTAACCACCTCGCCGACGACGCTGCCCGATGTGCCCACGATGGAGCACCCACACTGCTAATACCCTTGTCAAGAGTAGACGCAGCTAGAGAACTTCATCACATCGCGCATAATGCCACGCTTGCGCACTAGAATTCTCCACCTAACTCCAATCAACGCCCTAAGAACCCTAAGTCATTACTCCAGAAACAACTGCCACCCAAGATTTCTCGACGTGACGCTACAATGCTGTGCCGGCTGTGGACTGGGGTAGCGTTTACTAAGTCATTCAGCCATCGCATTGGCATGGCAGATTCATCCATGTGTGAAAGCTGCAAGTGTATAGAGACTATGGAACATCCCTTGTGCCAATGTGCCCAATTTGATAAAGATCGCCGGACTCTCCAGTGTGCCTTGAATAGACTCGACGACCGGCCATTTAATGAAGCAAAGATCTTAGGAGCCTGAACGCGCAGCACATCAGCACAAAAATCCACACGAGCCCTCCTGAGATACTTGACAGCAACTTCATTGAGGGACCACCTGTGAAACTCGGCATTGTGTGTGTGATGTGACATGTGTCTATTCTTCTCTCTCTTTTTTACTCCCCTCCCCCTCCCCATGTGTAGGGTAGCAAACTGGACGCATAGTCTAGTTAACCTCCCTACCTTTCCTACATTTCTTCTCTCTCTTTCTCTCTCTCTAGAGTGACATATCAATCTTCCTCACTCGCGCTTCACATATAATCGATTTCCACTGTACGTGATCTGCCATTTTTTTATATACTGGCAGCGCTGGTACATGCAAAACAATGAAAAATGACAGAGAACTAAGAGTGGGCGATCCCAGTGTTAATGTTTGGATTCCAATAAAGGGTACAAACGAAATCTTTTTTTATAATTTATCGAGGTTTAACATTTGCCATACATTAAAGAAGAGTACTTTTGCTAATGGTAGCGTTCTATAGAAGAAGTTGAGAATATTATTTTCGGAAAACATTAGAGAAAAGAAATATATGGAAGGCAACGAGATATAAAGTGATCCATAAATATTGAAAATTGTTATACTGATGTTTTATTATACATTCTGTAATTGCATACTGAACCTGAAAATTAAGTACATGGAGCTCAAGTAAAGCACATTTTGACGACATTCATGCACTGTTTTGAATATATGCTACAGTTCTCATATTCCAGCACCGTGTTTCTTACATTGTAACAAAATAAATCCAACCTGTGTACTGCTGGGGCAATAATGTACACCGCTACCACATATAAGAAATTCTCATTTTCTAAAGAGCAGCTGTGTTACTAAGCTCTTGAGTAACAATGAACCTTTCTAAGTTTGTTTCGCATTATCTCTTTACCCTAACTACACGTGAAAAATATGTGCAAAATCATTCACTATTTCCTTGGAGGCAGATCTCTCCATCGCAAACTAATGGGTAGCATACTTAATCTTGATGCCCGTTTGCATTCACTTGAACAACAGTGTAGTGTTCAATAAAGTTAATAGCAGCCAGTCTCAATGTGTAAAATTAGTTAACAACTAAGATAAGTAGGAATCATTGTATATCGCGAAATAGCGTGCATAAGTTCTGATTGGTAAAATCTATCATATTGAACTGCTAACAGGTGCTGCTGCCCGAGCGCGCAGCTGGCGACAGTTTACACTAACAAAATGTAAATGCTAGCATAGGCACGTTGAAATACCCATGTAACGTTAGCGGGCGAATTCACATGCTTTTCGAACAGCTCAGGACGGGCTGCAGTCACTGAAATGCGTGCACCTCATTCTAGAAATAACCGAAATCACTCACAGCGGAAGGACATGGGAGAAACGTATGTGGTTTTGGGGGCCTGAACATATCTCTGACAAGCTGATATCTCCAAATTTTTGGGAAGCGAAACACCCGCGGTTTACCGAGAAGGGCTCAAATGATACCAGTTAATCGGTCTTGCGGCGTGTCACTCCACGAACCAAAGTCCGAGAGTATTTCCAGGGCTGTCTCGAGTTCGTGAAGCTCCGCAAACTGTTTGCTGACCCAATGTGCACTCAGACCTATCAATATGGCGCAAGAACAGAAGTTGAACGCTTCGCGCGTCGATCAACATTTTGGTTGATGTATAAGCCCGAGAGATGAGCTTTCGCGTGGCGGTGCTGTGTTGCAATTTATACGTATCTGCTTTCACTGCGTGCGGCCACGATTTCAATTCCACTGTTTTGTGTGATTTGCCTGTTAATATCACATATATGCATGAATGCATCAGTGTACATCTACTTACCTGCAGTAATTAGTAGTGCCGTGTCAGGTTTGCCAGACGCAGTTGCGGTTTTTTTTTTCAAATATATTGCTACGAATGATGGTTTTCATTTTTACAAAAGAATGTTGTGAATGCGAATCATCGGCGAGGCAGAAATACAGACGTCACGCAGGCTCGACACAGGATTTCGCATCTGTGCTCCTGACTACATGTTTTTTTGTACAGTCACTGTATGCTAAAAGGTCACACGACTTCATGATTGCGAACCATGACACAGGATCAGTTAACTATTTACATGGGGGGGTTAACAAAATGTGGAGAGAGTGGCACGTTACTTTTATCTAGATCCAGCCTTGGTGGCAATAATATGATACTAGGGACGTTCATGATTGTAATATGAATGAATCTATTGACTTTTTACTGCTATCATGCAACAACCATTTCAGAAGAGAGACGAAACACCCAATGACGTAGAACCTGCACAATTCGTATTTCATCTAATCACCCCTGCGTATCTGTGTCTGTTGCTAATAAGGTAACCTCCTCGTCCAAAGAAATTAGTAAAGAATAAGCGTCAATTTATTGCATGCACCCTGAAAATCTTCTACTGATGAACAATAGCTCACGCCTCCCCCCCCCTTGCCTGTCTAAGCGTGAAAAGCGTGCAGCCGTTGTATATTACAGAATAAACATGTGGCTATAGTGGGCTCAATCTTCTGAACCAACAATAGTGACAACAACAGAACAATAAGTGAGAACAACGTGCAGGGCCGGCACACACCGCACACTTTCAGTCACAGTCAATTCAATCCTCTCTCTCTCTCTCTCTCTCTATATATATATATATATATATATATATATATATATATATATATATATATATATATATATATATATATATATATATAAATTAAGGGAAAGAAGTGTATACCTAAGGGCTCGTTTTTCCGTGTTTTAACACAATATTTATGAGATCTAGCAGACAGTAATGCCAAGGAATGTACAGGGGAAGTTATTAGAACCAATGGAATGTAAAAAGAAGAAAGAAAAGTGGATGAAAAAATGACCAGCCGTGAGCAGTCCACTTTTCTTTCTTCTTATTTACATTGTATTGGTTCTAATAACTTCCCCTGTACATTCCTTGGCATTACTGTCTGTTAGATCTCATATATATATATATATATATATATATATATATATATATATATATATATATATATATATATATATATATATATAGAAAGTATTAATTCAATGGGCCAGTTAGTCTTCGTGAAGGGATATGGCACAACGGGAGCGTTGCCAACAAAGATAAATCCCAATAGTCTCGGGAGGGGTCCTCTCTTCGTCATAGGATGAGTTATACTAACACAGACGTTCAAACTTCGTTGCTGCCGCGTCCCTCTCGCCTTGAAACATGTTTGCGAGAGTGAGAGAGAACTAAAAAAAAGCACTGTGAACACTGAGCACGAAACCAGACTGTGCACATCCAAATGTCGGTGTAAGTCCACATACGCTTCTTATCCTGTGCTGGACAGCTCTAGACGTGTGTCGGGTTACCTAAGATTGTCGCCGTGGTGGCGGGAGGGGCCCGCGACGTGGTGCGTAAGGAAAGAGTTTCCCCTTAATGGGTTGGTTGGCTCTTTACCTTTCATCTTCGCCCGTTTTCCCTCAATGGCTGTCAAGTGGTAGGCGAGCGTAAACACTTTGTATATACACGAAAAATATATATAAAGAAGAAAAAACACAAGAAAGGGCAGTGTACACGTACGAGTCAGAAAAAAACAAGCATCGTCTCCAGCTATGAATCTGTCACCAATTTCCTCCAGGCTTACTTCTCGGAGACAGGAAAGTCTTCCGGGATCCTCGTTTATGCCGGCTACTAATGTTCTAAATTGGAAAATAAAGTAAGCCTCACGCTGTTCGCGCTCGCACATGTTTGAGAAACCTGACTGTAAAAGAGTTACGCTGATATTTTCAGAACTGTGGTTTGGCAAACGCAGATGTTTAGATAAAGGCAGCTTCGGCAATGAATTGGCGTGGTACTGGTGATTATTAAACCACAGCCGAAATGGCGTGTCTGTTTGGCTGATATATTCTTGTCCGCAGATGTTGGAATGTAGCATGTATATTACGTTACTGGAGTCACAAATAAGGCTTTGAGTTATGCAGAATTTGAAATCCGAGAAGTTCGCTTTGGATTCACGTGTTGTGACCATCTGTGGGCATACCTTGCATCGAGCTTTTCCGCGGGGATGGCACCCTGACTGAATTTCGGAGGTGTTTGCTTCAATTTTCGTCAAGCCATCTCACGTGGCGTACCGCAGGGATAAAACCTGGAGGACATCCTTCTCAGAGCAAACACAAACCCCTCCAAAATTCAAGAGTACAGTATAGAGTAATTAAACAATTCAAGGGTACAGCATCAAATACTTGTGGGTATTCTTTATGGGACATCATCGCAGCTGTTCAGTACATTTCTAAACACAAATGCAGCTCTTCGGTACTGAACTTGAGCGCTGCAGTGTAATCCTGTTAAAGAAAATCTTACCTGGCCCTTCCATCCGGATGGTGACGGAATGGTCCATCCTTCCCCTGGGATGGTCGCCAGGATGAGCCAACTTTTCCTTCCATCCGCGGCCACGGGCCGTCAAAGTGAAAGAACAGCCCAATGCCTGCAGCATGATTATTAGTCAATGCGCCTTGAAAAAGTTGAGGCTCCCGTCGAAACGCCGGGAAAACACAAGAAGTTGTTATGCGCTCTATATATATATATATATATATATATATATATATATATATATATATATATATATATATATATATATAACCTGCGACGAAGGGTGCCGGTTGGCCCGCGGCAAGTAATAAATTCATCCACTTTTTTATTTATTCACATATGCATTGGAATTAGGTCTATCAACTTTCCTTATACCTTTCTTGCATTATTGTCTATGAGATCTCATCAATATTGTGTCTAAAAATAAAAAACTAGCCCTTAAGTGTACACTTCTTTTCTATATGTTCTCTAGCCGCTAATCTTCTTGCGATGACGATCGTAAACAGAACATTAAAAAAGAAAAAAAAGACCTGGCCCATTTTTTGTGCGATTCCTGCGCAAATCTTTATTAAAGCTCGTCGGTAGACCACGTTTTCTTTTTATTTGCACGGGGACAAACAGCGCGCGCACCAGCGACAACGCAGCAGCACCTGTATGCACCGTGGCTTTTGCCTACCACGCGAAAACAAACGCGTGACGACAGCACCACCACATGTATAGTAGAATTTGTCTATACACTTGCTAAACACGTTCATAGTCTTTTAAAGCACAGACAAAGCATAATTCACTTTCAAAATTTCAATTCGCCTAGAGTTATGCCAACGCCAGTGCAAACGCTCGCTTCTCAGAGGGAGCCATCGGTCTGCCTTAAAGGTACACTCACCAGGCCCCATACCCAATTTTAGTTAGACAGTGGAAGTTGTTGGGTGTTCGATGAGAAACATTTTGCCACAAAAATTTTTTTGTTCATTACGAGCAGAGAAAACGAGTTTTCTGAAGTGGCGCGAAACGAGGATGGGAGAAGGCGAGCTCGAAACCCTTGCCGCTCCTCCGCGTAGCCCTCGCAAGCCAAATCTCTTCTTCACCCTCTCCGGCATCTGACCAAGAGGTCACGTGCACATGACGTGCCCAAAGAAGTGCAACCCCCGAGCACGTGAGCGGCATTTCTTTGTTTACCAGCGTTATTTTGTGGTCTTCTGCCTGTTTCTGCGGGATGGTTTGGAAACGCTGGCTTAGACGCGGTAGAATAGATGAGCATAATGATTGCGCGAACGCACAGGAGTGTTCCACGGTGGTTATCTGTTCAATGCGCTGACCGTGGGGACACGAACGCATGTGAAACGCTGGCTCATTAACCCCGCATCTCGTAGCATTTCACGGGGGAAAATGAAAGAAAAACGCGCACAATTTTTTTTATTGCGTCTTATTATTTATTTCAAGTTTTATTAATCTCTTAAAGCAACAAATACATATGCTATGCATGTTGTGTTAAATAATTTTTGCCATGTCACGTGCCACTGTTTGCAACATCAGAGCAGAGTCGTCTACGTAGAGGACTAACGTCACTGCTTTGTCGTGTACGTAGGGCCATTCATACGCGCACGTCATGGCCTCATTCTCTGAGCGTGCGCCAGCAGAAGAGAGGGGGAGCAGTGTTCATCTTGAAATTTGACCCATTACGGCAACGCGTAGCGTTGCAAATTTCGGCAGACGTGATCATGAACGCCTCGTCTCCACATTGCACTTGTCAGCGCTAACTTGTCAAACCTGGGTAGTGGCCCTTTAATTTAGGAAGTGGTCGTGATGCAATGCTAATGAGGGGTCGCGCAGCTCGCTCACACGCGCCTCCGAGCACCTTTCTTCCGAAGGTGCGATAGACGTTTTTCCCGCACCGATATCATATGTCTATCAGATTCGCTGCTTCATGCTGCTTCTTTCTGGCTCGAGACAATGCCACCGCCGCATCACAGAGCAGCGCATGGATAAACGTTGCAGTGAGGCTTCCGCATTAGTTGCCCCGATAGCGCCCCCAACGGCAACACCCTTTTTTAAAACACCCTATATTTCACAAAGCCAGCTTGACTAATACTTTAAATACAAAGAATGCAAGACGCCGCCCCTCGGATATGTAAACAGCTTGATAAAAAAAAATTACTTCGTATGATGTCCTTCATGAGGCACTGCATGGGGGGCTACTCTCCCCCAGAACCGCAAAGCACACCTGAAGGCTAGGCGATGGGAGAGTGCGGGGAAAGGCTAGAGGAGAGTATGGTGAACAGCTCGACCGGGCGCATTTGGCCGGCATTGATAAAATAGAGGAGGCGTTGGTTATGCGAACGGTCACATGGCTGAAGCGCCTGTGGTGCCCTTTGCACTTTCGCTCGAAACCAAGCACACGTAAAACACTCGACAATCGCACGTTCCACTGCTTACTCGGCTCTCACTACACCGATCAGCACGAATCATGGCTAACGCTGCACCTTCCATTAAGCACACTTTTCAGTGACCACAAACAAATATGCGGTGAGGTACTGGTTCGGCAGTAGCACTGGTATTTTATTGGCGCAAATGCATGAGCTGGGCTTCTTCAAGGTGTGACCGTATTATGATATTGCGCTTGTCGTCGATACATGTGCTCTCTTGCTCGAGAGAAACTTTTCCGGTATGTCCGTCAACTGGGTTCTCTCTCTTATCCGGTATTCACTCTCGCAAGCTCATCCGCAGCGGCAGCGCCGCTTTTACGACTGTCAGTTGCCGTGCATCCTACTAAAAAAATCACAAACACAAAATTTCTTTCATGGCATCACTGGTGAGGTAATCAAATATAATGAAATTACGAAAAATTGAGAGGAAGAGGGTTGCGCGGAAGCCCTCATTCCCCACTTCGCATGCAAGCGTAATGCGCTCGTGCCTTCTTTCAAACCGCTGGCCGCTTGGGTGATGCTGCCACTAGTATAATTTTGTTAATTATCTTTTTAAATTTTGTTCCTGTGTTCTGAAGAGACGAAAGATTAGCTCATGTATTTGTTAGTACGACAAAAGTTAATCGACACGAGTAATTGATTGATTGATATGGGGGTTCAACGTCCCAAAACCACCATGTGAATATGAGGGACGCCGTAGCGGAGGGCTCCGGTAATTTTTCCCTCCTGGGGTTCTTTAACGTGCACCCAAATATATGCATATGGGCCTACAGCATTTCCGCCTCCATCGGAAATGCACCCGCCACAGCCGGGACATAGAATTTGTAGTAAACATGCGATCTACGTCCGACGTTGATACAATGCACAGTATTGGTTTAGCATCTCATCGACGCTCAAGTATACCTTTCTGTTGCTGCTCCACACACATTCCCAGCCAACAACTCTTCTGTGAGTAAAATGAGCTTTTTTACTGCACGTTCTGTTTAAAAAACGGACATACACGTAGTGCAAAAATGTATATTTATAAAAACAGCTTATCTTACAAATGATGTAGGCACATAATCAGCAAAATGAGCCCAAAATATCCAAGCCAATGCAAAAATTATCAACAATCGCGAGTAGGAGAAGTCGCATTTATCTTGGTCACCTTGGTTCTGATGGCACGCATAGTTTTCTAACAGAACTTGAGCATTGAACGAGACTGAAGTTCAGAGGCACAGAGAGGCTTGAAGCGATCAGATGTTTTTCGAGAAAGAACGTTGCTGAAAACAGTGTTTCGGCAAGCGGAATTGCCTTCGTCAGGGCAACAGCGTTGCCTTGACGAAGAAAAGTTCACTTGTCAAAACGTTGGATTCATCGACATTCTCTGCACTAAATTTTAGAAGCGTTTGGTTCATCGGTGTATTTGAGTGGAAGTATTAAAAGTAAACACTCACAAATTTTCAATCCGCAGCTGCAAGAATTTCATGAGGAGGAAGCGGCCTACCAGTGCGCATTTATTACTCATACACGCAAAAAAAAATTTATGCCAAGGGCAAGTCTAAGTCACAATACAAAAATTAAAACAGCTTATTATCATTTGACACCATTTGAACTGCACGCTATATGTTAAAGATGCTTAAAAGCTAAAACTGTGTAGCCGAGCCAAGTCGAATTCTTTGCAAGCTTTTCAATAAACAAATTTTTTCCAAAGCAGGTTGGCTTGACCCATTAGTCAAGCGACACTGCGCTTCTCTCAGTCCAGCCAGGCTTGTAGACAACTGGGTTTACTCATGTGCTCATGCAAAATTAATACCTGCTCAATTAATAGGTCCTAATTCTTGTGCTCACCCGTTGCCTTTAGGGAACGTTGAGGAACCTTCGTGGAACTAGAAATCCCCGGGCTAGCGCACCACACCACCGCGGAAAACATGCCTTGCCTGATTTAGCCATCTTCGTTGAATGCAAGGTAGACTTGTTCGGTGTAGCTCACTGCGGCTTCCGTTCTCTGCCCGCCACAACTTGCTGTCTTATCTTTCCCATAGTTGTCACGCTGGCCGCACCACCAACGAGCGAGATAACTGAGTGCGATCGAACTTCTAATATCGCTGAGCGAGGGGAGACAAGGAGCGGAGGCAAGCCAATCACTTTCCGCGCTTCGCCTGATTTAAAAATAACAAAGTAAGGAACAACAAAAGACTTGTAAACAAAAGAGAAGTTCTTTGCAGTGGTATCAAACTTTTTTCTTCGTAAAAACGTGCGCAAGCCAATAAATGCGAACATTCACATCAACTTCACTCCGTTCAACCGGAACTTAAGATGCCCAGTAACCGGTATACGAGCGTGAATGTTACTTGAAACCAAAACTGCCGCCGAGTTTCCGGAACCTGGTTCGAATTGCTGATCCTTGTGATGTATTTTCTCGTTGAATTGTTGGAGTGTGTCATTCTCGTTGTCGTTGTTTTTACCTGTTTAACAGCTGCCAACTTCGAGATGAGAGAATTGTCGCAATGATAAAGGCACCTACGAGCCATCGCCACTCGCGCAAAGAACGCAGATGTGCGTAACAACCCCCGTAGAATTCTGTTCGCATAATATCGGGCCTTGAATCGTCCATCCCCGTTTAGTGTTAGTCGGAACTAAGGTTGAATTCTTCTCGTATGGGCTGACTTTGTTAAGCATAAATTTGCATATCTGATACGCCCCAACAAGC